TACGCTGAAGTCAGCGAATGCGTGGGGTCGTGTGTATTGTACAGAGTGTTCCGAAAGTATCGTACTACATTTCAACTGCTCGGAAACTGAATTATTGTCGGAAATCTTTAAGAAAATATTAAGGAAATGTCGCTTACTTGACCAATTCGGACTCAATTTTTCACGGATTTTGCAAGCAAGTTGGTGCAATCGTTGCGTTCTTTCGATATTCAGTGTATTTCGTATCTTGATAGTTAAGTCCCGACTTAAAATATCGGAAATAGGTATTTAGCTTACTCGAATTTAAGCGAATAATAAGGCATCAGTGCTTAATTGTGTTTCCCTCAGTTTTTCTCACGAAGAATATTTAATTTCTGTGACATGACGGAGCGGGTAGAAGGGAGTCTCGGAAGATATCGACGCGTCTCGATATATTAGCGGCAAAAAATCCACTTTAAGTTAGTTAAAGAATTAATTAAGTCTGATGCTTCTGGAACATCCTGTATAATTCATATCCTGACCGGTCGAGTGTCCCAGAGGATGGCTCTCTGGGACTGTGAATTCTTTCTTCGTAATTTAATTTATGGCGCAATTTAATTGAAACTCATTGACGTCGCGCAGTAAAACCGAATCAGTGAATCTGGCTGGCATTTATTTGCTAAGTCGACATCGACTCCAGCGCTTCAACCTGCTTATGGCGGGGGAGAGGCGGCGGGGAGAAATGTTTTTACGATGTATTTGGCGAGTCATTCGAAAATGATGTGTCCAACTCGTCCGTAACGCTAATGGCGTTACGCCCGTCGAGAGTAGCCTCTGCCGGGGACAAGCTCGACGACGGGACGGATCGGCCTCGACATCGATTCTGGCCTGTCGTTCTCCCCGGAGCACCCGAAGGGAAATTCAATTCTCGCGAGCCGCGCACGGAAAAGTCATTCCTCAAACCCCCCGCCCACGTTGTACGAGATGACCTGCCAAAGTGAGACTGTCACTGGCGATATTTTTTTCCCCTCGACATCGCGAGATATAGAAAATAACGCAATGAGGACGCATCCTTTTCCTGTTTTTTCCCCTCACTTTCAATCTCTTTCTCCCTTGCGCGCGCGCACGTGACAGTGTGCTATTTGTTTCGCCGGGACGAATTAAATTGAAAATAAAGCGCGCGAATTTGTCGTAACACCCGCACGCTCTTGCACCTGTATCTTGTACGAGTGGGAGTTTCAGGTGGGTTTGTTGGGTCTCCGAGGAAAAATTAATGGGAAAATATAGCATCTCCGCACAGAGTTATCGCCCGGTGATTGCCGCAGCTTTTGGAAGTTCTCTTAAATATGACAAATGGGAAGAAGCAGCCGGGCTGTATGTATGTATGTGTGTGTGTATGGAAGAACTCGGCACGATTCGCGATGAATCCATCATAATTACAGAGGTGCATTTCCGACGAAATCCCGCGCGAAAAATAACTCGCTCTCTTCCTCTCCTTCTCGCGAGAAGGGGCGAATGAACGAGCGAGCGGTATTAGTAGTGAATGAGCAGGGGGGAGGGAGTATCATCAAGAGCATATCGAGAATTAACGATTTGGACGGCCAACACGGTCACGTGGCGACATGAGGGCGCGCGCGGGGGGGAGTGGCGGGGCCCAGTGTACATTGCGGAACGAGTTTGCTCGCAATCGGAATCGATATATCGACTCCGGAACGGTTCTTTAATATCCCCGTGCCGCGATGCCACCGGTGTGTCGGATTTTATCGGGCCGGTCGATTGCCTTAGATACGAGACGGGAATTATCCCGGCGCGCCCCGGGAGAGAAAGAAGCTCGAGCGGAAGCTCGACCCTCTCGAGGAATCGCCCGCCGCGGCTAGGTGAACGGCGGGAGCTAAGAAAACAAGCGATCTCCGCGAGAAGAGGGGCGGGAAGAAAAACTCTTCTCTCCGTCCGCGCCGGAGAGAAATCGGACGGGAGATGACTATCCGTTCGGATCGCGCCAACGCGCGGTCCCGCGCAATCTTACTGCAGAAATTACGCGGAGCACCCCCTCGGGGCGAGATCCCATTACTTCCGACACGTCAAAAACTCGGCGACGGATGAGCGGAGGGACGGAGGAGCCGTTTGCCCATCCCGCCCACCGTCTCTCTCTCCGTCCGCCGATGCACCGTCGAGAGTTGGAGATTGGATTTGTCGGTGCGGCATGAATATTCACGAGAACGCGGGTGTCATTTTGCGCGCGGCTCATTCGGCGCCTCCGCGCACAAGATGAGCCAACGGCGGCCGCGGAGAGCGCGTTGCGATGGTAGGTTTTATTCGAGCGTTAACCTTGAATAATCGAGGAGCTCCGCGAGGTGCTCCGTCGACTCTTCGTCTCCAATTACGACGGGGGGATCGTGTCCCCTCGGGATCAACAGCCTGTCGATTAGCGGCCGTTCGCGGAACGTCCCGTTCTCCGAACGGAAGCTCGTCGATAAAGATACACAGCGCTTTTGAGGCGCGCGTTCGGCTCGTCGCGAACTTGAGGAGCACGTTGGCAATATTTCACGCAGCCTCCCGCCGCCGCAGGACCGGAGGAGCCGTTCGAGAGGCTTATTCCGGCCCGAGCCCTTGAAATATGCATCGTCTGCGGCGTTTACATGTCGAGATACGCGGTGCAGCATGTAACATGCAGACGCGCCCTCGCAGGTTAACGGTACGGCGCCGTACGGCCCGGGAAACGTATCCAAAATTCAAATCACGCGGCACTCTTCCTCGAACGACCCTTCTCGCAAACGTAAGCGTGAGCATAAGCCCGCGAGACCTCCGAGGAGGCGCATCCCCGTAGATATTGCGATTTTACGAGGCGACGTGGCGACCGCATCGACGGCGGTGCCGGCGTCTGCTGCGCGAGGAACGCTCCACAGTGGTATCGACACGTAGTAAGGCGACCTTATCCGCGCGCAGCGGTGAGAAACAAATATCGTGACGAAAGACACCCCATCCTCCGCTCGGGCTGATGCGAAGAGAGAGAGCGCTCTCGGGGCTCCCTGTTGTTCGCGCACGATGATAAGATTCTCGAGTTCCCCGAGCCTGATGACCCGATCGCGCGAATGGAGCCTCGGCTGAATGATCAGCCGAGATCTGACGATGATCTGACGCAACGAGAGGGACCTTGGAATCGATGAGCCTCCGCTTGAAGCAGAGACGTTCACGAGAAAGTGTCGTCCGAGAGGAAAGGGGAAGCCTTTCCCACTTCAAGGACGATAGTGCGACGACGGAGACTCCTGCTTCTCGATAGTAATTGCGAAGGTGTGTGCTCGATTAATCGACGCGAGTGAAAGCGCACGCGCATCGCGTCGTCGTCGATGATAAGTATGTCCGGGGGAGCGAGAACTTTCTCGAGAGCCGTCGAGTGCCCGGTCCATGGGACTCGACGACGCGGCTGGAGAAAAAGTGCGGGTGGTTCGTGAGAGGAGAACAAGTAATGGAGTCCCTATATAGATATATTCGTGGCACACAAGTGTGCTCTCGCCCGAAACATCGCGCGACGTCGTTTGGTCGTCCGTGATCGAGGTACAGTCGATCTTGGCTACTACTTCCTTTTCGTCGTCAAAACGAAACAAACGTAGGACAGTCAGCAGTGGCGCCGAGAGTATAAAGTATACCAACGGAAAGTACTTACAGGAAAGTAAAGACGTAACACGCGTGTGGATATGTAATATATACAGCGTCACGGCGAAAAGCATCCGTCCCCTTCGGGGCGGTTGGAGGGGCAAGGTAAATCCGACAGCTATGTTCGTAGAGTGTCATTCGCTAATCGCGGCCATGATTCATGAGAGCTAAGCTAAAGAGATTTCTATGGCCCGGATTGTCAGCCGTTTACTTGAAACTTGTCTCACGCGAGACACCCAGGTCTGAATTTTGAGTCAGAGAATTAGAATTCTTAATTCAGTTCTTAATGCGTCGTTGCATCGTGTTAATAGTTATTACTTGTAACTCACGTGAAACACTCAAATTTCTGCTTAAAGATAGATTTGAACTTCTTCAGTTGAGTTGCATGATACACGTGATACATTATTCTTGCAATCACGATTTCACTGAAAAACTCACATCTAACTTTAAAGTGAAATACGAATATTTCATTGGAGATAAAGTTCAAGTAACGGCTATTAATACGAACCCATATTAATAGCCGTTACTTGTTTCACGTAAGATACGCAGATCTGAATTTAGAGTTGAAATTGAGTTTTTCCGTTATACTTTATGATACACGTAACGTTTTGCAATCGCGAATTACTCAACTGGAAAATTCAGATCTAGCTTGAAATTCAAATCTGCGTTTTTTACTTGAGACAAGTTTCAGATGACGACTGTTAATATAGATTTAAGGTCTATAATAGCTGTCACTGGAAATTGTTTCATGTGAGATACTCAAATTTTCATTTGGAGTTAGATCCAAGTTTTTTAACTAAATCGTGATTTATGTGACATTTGTATCTGTAGTCGCGATTCAACTAAAGAACTCTCATTTAGCTGTGAATTGAAATCTGAGTATCTTATTTGAGACGAGTTTCAAGTAACAATCATTAGCACGAGTCTAAATTGAAATTTGAGCATCTCTTACGTGAGGCAGTCTTTAAGTAACGACTATTAGTAAGGAAGAAATTTGCAGTGAACGTACAAACTAGGATATCCTCGGTGGACTAATCGCAAGCTCTGACTTTATGGTGTACAGTGACGGCACCTTCTAATCGAAAGAGAATCTGAACTTTGTCCAAAACAGAAGAAGAAAAACGGTCTTAGCTAATCGGGAATTTTACGCGCGACTCCATCGCGCCCTTAAAAAACACCTACGTGTCTCTCGCGAGCCTCTAGACTCTAAGTCGAACTCTAAGTGGACTCTAGGTCGAAAGAAAATGAAAAAAAAAGAAGACTGCACGACATCGTGTATATATTACATATCGTGTGTAACAGTAACAATTTACAACGAATCAACCGAAAAGAAAGGAAGAGGTGTGTTTGGCTGGTGTGCAGGCAAGGCATGCTACGAGTTACGTTACCTAGGGTGAGCTTCTCGCCGGAATCGGGCGGCAGGGTGAAGCCCAATAGGGCCATGCTCGATATCAGCACGCAGGGCACGATCAGGTTGAAAAAGTAGTAGAGGGTCCTCCTGCGTATCTGTATCGTGAAGGTGACGTCGACGTACGGCTCCGGGCAGCACTGATACATTATCGTGTTCTTCTTTCCCGGCATACCTGGAAAAAAGTGCCCAGCACCGATATACACGCCGACATATATATCCGCAGGATTAAAAATGATATATCGCACGCGCACGCGCGCGCACGGGACGAGGAGGCGTGATCGCTCGTCCTACGACGTTCGTCAACGTCGAAGTCAACGACGAAGTCCCGAACACCCTCCTCTTCCCCTTTATCACCTTCGACTTCTTCCTCGTTTGTAATCATTTACCACTATCCTCATAGCTCTCCCACGGTATAAAAATGAAAAAAAAAAACGTTTCCACCCAGAACACGACAAAACACCGGGACCTGTCTATCCGCATCTCTTCCTCGCCATCCCCGAGTCGCGTACTTTTCTTTTCTCGCAGTCTTTTAACACTCTCTCATTCTTCTTGCCACCACACATTCACATCCGCCATGTTGCGAGGCGACTAACACACACATACACACATAGAGAGGTGCGACCGTAAATTCTATCTGTCATCTGTCTATCCGTTTTATTGCGCAGCTACAGCGCAGACTCGCGCAGGAGTCCGCGGATGTCGTCGGGGAGACACGCGCGAGTCGAGTTTACACCGCGACGACTTTCACCTTGTTGTCGCTCATGATCTCGCTTGAAACTGCGCCGAGATTACTGCTCGTCATGAGCCGCGGGAAGATATCCCGGAGTCACCAAGTGTTCCCTACTTCTTCGACTTCGCTCCCAGCTCGTCGCGACGATCTGGATTTTGACAACGAACGAACAAGCAAACTAGCTGACTAACGAACGACGTATGCGTCTATCTCGCGATAAGATAGAACTCATCCCTTTCTCACGGATCTAAGGTTTCTGAGCACTCGCTATATTAGCTCATGACGTCAGATGCGAGAAATGACATACTGAAAGTCCTTGCGTGCCATTTGCAAGTAAAACGGTTTATTTGAATAATATATTAAAATGTGCCTCAAAAACTATTTTTTCCTTCAACAGTTAACGAATAACCGCAAAATTAACGTGATGATGAGAAAAGGTAGATTAAAGAAATTCGCATGTCACGTAAATTTTGCGACTGTTTATTGACTAGCAAGAGAAAAAGGGGATAGTCCTCGGGCATTTTGCAAGTATGCTCAAGGAATTTCAAGTATTCTTACATATGAATATCTTGTTATTATTATTATTGATTAACAAAGGAAAATTATTTTTCCTTCAAACATAATACAAAAATTATCATACCTGTTTGACCGCAATTATATCTAAAAATGTTGTACGCAAGAATGTTGGGTGTACATTGTCTCGCTTCTGCCGTCAAGTGTTTTGCGGCGAAGAGTCAGCAGCTTTAAGACTTCTGGATGTTCGCCGCGACCATGTTGAATCGTGACGTCAGAGACGAGAAATGACAAGCTGAAAATTCTAGCATGCCAAATAAAAAGATACTTGAATGATATGTGCAAAAATGCTTCCCGACAATTATTCTTTCCCTTGAATGTCAATAAATAGCTGCAAAATTCACGTGGCATGCATGCAGTCTTCTCCTCTCTGACCTTTTCTCATGATTTTGTCACGTCAATTTCACAACTATTTATTGGCTGTCAAAGGAAAAGGATGATTTTCGGAGTATGTTACAAGCGTGCTCGAGCGATCTCGAGTGCTCCTTCGTACAAATATCACTCGAGAATGGCGAGAATTTTGGGCATGCGTTTCCTCGCTTCTGAAGTCATCGATCATGAGTTCCGTGGCGAGGAACCGGGAGCCTTAAGCGGCAAGCAGCTGCTCCAGCTGTTGGGCGCGCGTCTTCGGCCATAACGAAAACATATTTACCCCGAGAGGTAGCGATTCTTGACCGCGGACGTTCGATGCTTTTGAGAACGGGCTGGGCTTTCTTAATAACTTCCGATCAGGCGGTCTCTCGAGTCGATCCCGAGTGGTGGGAACACGACGCGATATCGCGGACACTCACTTGTTGCTGGCCTCCATTCTTAAGGCTCTTTTTCCTCGCATTTCGACGGCGTGGCGCGGTCGCGTTGCATCCGTTGCCCCGAGATAATTAGCGTATCTAATAGCGGAAAATAGCGGCGGTTTTCGCGGGAGGGTGCACGGCTGAGCGGCACTCTTAATTACGCGCGTCACGTAGACCGTATCGGCGGATATTCGTCGTCGCTACGTGCACGGGACGTTCGCCGTCGAACACGTCATTTCGCCGATTGCGATAGCTCGCAGGTAGCGAGCCACCTGCTACGCTTCATTGTCGTGTTTGACTCTTTTTGTACAATCGAACACTTTGTCTCTCCGCCACTTTTAGAAGCAGCCGCGTGATATCGATTAATTTCACACTCGGAGTCTTTTCTCCTCATCTGTTCATCTCTCGTCACTCTGGTTACCTCCGCATCGCGGACCGAAATGATCCGGTCAGCTCTCGGTGAATGCGCGCAGTGCGTATCGACGAGGTTACTTCTTTACATTTTTACGTGCGAGTCTCTTCGAAATTACCTCCCTCCCTATCTCCTTCTGGCTCGCGCTTGGATATTTTCGACATTTTTTCGCGAGACACCGGATCGGAGCTATCACGAATTCTATGTCATCCGCGGCGATATCTCGCGTGTCTCGGCGAGTCCCGAATCCACTTCGGGGAAACCGCCGTGCACGAAACGCGCACTTTCCGATACGCGGGCACGCTGGAATGTAGTCGTAAAAGGACATGGCCAATAAATGAGACGCAGGAGAAGGAGGAGGAAGAAGAAGAAGCAGCAGGCGAAGAGAGTCGAAGCGCGACGGCGGTAAGAGAGAGGAGGACTGTCATAAAGTCGTGCCCGTTGCGGCGCCGTGAGACACGGAGGTGCCGTAAAATCTTTCGATTTCTATTCAGCGGCGACATCGATCGCGACTACGCGCGAAACGTGAAGCTGCCGGGGATGCCGCGTGATGCAGCATCTCGCGAGCCCGCGACGAAAAGCCGGGAGCGCGGTTTCTTAACGACCTCCATCGGCATACCTTCACACGTCGATGACGCCGTTTCGTGTCTCTCCGCCCGCGAGTAACTTGGAATCTGCCCGAGAAGCTGAAACGAATCAGGGTGACGTGACAGCTTTTCGCTCTTACGATATATTCCAGCATCTCGTATCTCTCTTTTTTGTGCTACTATCTCTCTTTTTTACGAGAAATCTCTTATTCGTCAGGAGGAAGGGCGCCGACGAGGAATGCGAAACGCGTTATGAGAATAAAATATTTAGGGATCGCAATGTGTGTGGGCATGCATTTGCAGTGTCCAGTCGTGACAAAAGAGTCGAGACTCGCCAAATGTTGACGCGGGGAAGTACGATTGCGCTTGTATATGAATATGCAATGGGTGTACCGCGTGCAGATAGAAAGTCGTAACCCGGGTTATATCGCGGTACTTTTGCTTGGCGATGCTTTATACGACTCGAGCGGAAACTGAACTGAATACAAATTGAGGACTCTTCGTTAGTTCTATTAGTAGTTATTAACGTCGTTAGTTGCAAATTAGTTAGATGAGAACGTAAAAAACGCGCAAGGTAAAAGTGCCAATGCCTGGGCATTAATAATATTGACAATTCTGAATATTACTATTGTTTTGATCTTTAAATATAAATATTTAAATAAAAAAAAAATATATATATATATAAATAAAAAAAATATATAGAGTATACATATATTGTAGAATATATATATATATATATATATATATATATATATATATATATATATATATATATATATATAT